TCTCTTAGAAATTCTTGATGAACAGTTTCAAAACTTTCTGCTGGTGATAAATTTTGTTTTGTACTAAGATTCGAGTCTTCCGATTGTACTATATGTTCAGCTTGTCGTGCTCGATGTTCAAAATTTTGATGTATAGCATGTATAGATACTTGTCGATTTAATATATCAAAACCAATATAAGTTATTTCAAGTATACTAAGAACAACATAAGTAAAAAGATTTTCTCCACGTACTAAACGACTATCTTCATTACAATGTTGTATATTCATATAATCACGTTCATAGATAATAACCATTAAAAGTGTATGTAATGCAAGTGTTAATAAAACTAATAATTGTATTGCAGCATACCATGTTATACCTAAATCATTTTGTACTTTAGTATTTTCCAATTTACAAAGTATAATCATAAATAGACTAAAATAACACACAACGATTATTATAATAAATATTAAATGTATAACTTTAAGAAAACGTAATTGTTTATGTTCATAAATACAATGATTTATTGTTAGAAAACATGAATAAATTTGTGATGATTGATTATAAATAATTGGTTTTTGATTATATGAATTATAAATATGAATTTCCGGAGCATTTAAATGAATACTATTAAAAACTAAAGCACCAGCTTCAACACAAAAAAGTACTACAATAAATTTAGGATCTATTGTCTTTTGAGGAATTGTTGGAATATTATGATAACTTTGTTGTGTATATGATAATGGTCGATGTAGTTCCATTGATTATAATCTAAAATCAATTTATTTCAACAGATTAAATCTATCAAAAATGTTCTGAATAGACGAGAAAGCTACAAGTATGATTACACAGTTTCTATTTGATGAAGTGCTGCAAATAAGGTTTATTATAAATATATATGATCGTTTATTGCTCTATTGCTTCTTATCTAGTACGCTCACCTTCTATTGACAGCATAAAGGATAAGATTTTTCTCATTAACAGCACTGGTGTTCGATTGTATTCAAATTCTTTTCTTTTTCTTTTTTTGGATATTTATTTGACGTAAAGCTGTTCTTTTCGAATATACAACACTTTTATCTGTCTAAGAAACATATAAATTATCGACTGCTATTTTTGACAATAGAACTACTTCAAAAAAAACTTGAAATTCAAAATTTATGATATTGATTTGTTAATGAAAACAACAAAAGAGAATTTGGACAATAAAAATTTTCATGATCTATCAATGTAGAGATCATACAAAGAAATTACTTATGATATGGAAATATTAACGACTTCTTTTTTTTTCGAATTCAATAATTATATAATAATCATGACCTTAACTATCCACAAAATATTAATGTCTTCTATTAAATCATGGTATCTGTCATATTTGCTATTGACTGTTATACTTAAAATAACTTGAAACAAAAACTATGAAATTCATTTGATACATTCAATCTATCACTAATGTAATTATTGCATCATTATATTCGTCGATAGATACTCAGTTAGTAGCAGCTGTTGGTGTTTGAGTGACAAAATCTACCCAAGAGGCTTACTAAATATGAAAATCTACATGAATTTGACCGATAATTAATTGTTAAAAATTTATAAATCCTATCTTTTTGTTACAGATGAATGGGTGAAACGTGAGATGAACGTTATCGAATCGTTAGTTCTAAATAAATAGAACATCTTTGATAATATTGTTCAAAATGATCCATCAATTAATCAACTTTTATTCTCTATTGAAAAAGAATTAGAGAAAAAGATTATTTGTTCATTCAAATTAATTAATTTAATAAAAATATGCCATGAAAGATATCTTATTACACATAACATGTCAAGATCTATAACTGAACAACGATTATTAATTAATCAGTCACAAAACCAAGTTACATCTGAGTGAATATGAATATGGATCAATTGTTTATCTTTACTCGATGTTGAAGGTATGGATGGATGTAGGTCTTGTCTTCACATCCTACACTCGCGTCCAGAAAATGATAAGAAAAGCTTGTTTTTTGGTATTTCAGAACGTTTTATAGAGTTGACAAAAATATTTGAATTTTTGTATGTGGAAAGATAATGCCGTAATGATTATAGTTAGAAAAACGAGAAGTCGAAAGTGGAATGTGGGTGTGGCTACAAATTTCGAAAATACTCACACTCAAATCCACACCCTCAAAATTTATCCTGATTTTGCTGAAATAATTTAACCAGTTGTCAAATTACCTGCGAAATTTTCTGCTAATGAATGATTTAATATTCTTCTTGATTCAATCACTCTCATCGGTTCTAATGTCAATGTAACATAACGAACAATTACTGAAAAGAAAATTTCACTCAATAATCATCAAGTTTATGTCCGTTCACCTTTATCACCAAATGAAGAAACGAAATTTATCAAAGAACTAATGACTAAAGAAAGTATAAATGTGGTCAAAGTTATTGATGAAGATAATAAATCATTGGAATCGAAATATTATGTTAATTTTACATATGATGCAATTGATGTGATGTATTTTAGTTGTCTTCGTTCAAATCTATCTGAAAAGATAAATTATCAATTAAATCTATTTGAAGTATCAAAAAAAGTCTAATATTGATTATGTTTGCTGATATTCAAAACTAGGGGTGAGAAGTTATTGTTATTAATAACAACAAAATAACAAATAACTTTTTTTCCAGGAAATCTTAGTTATGCTTTGTAATTATGTAAACGTATACCAGTTCTATTTGCTCATTATTGTCCGATTGCTAGAT